CACCCGCTCCCCCCCCCGCCCCTCCCCTCTCACACCCCTCCCAGTGCCGGTCGGGTCGGTGGTGGGGTCTGGTGGTCTCCTCGGGGCGGAGGGGCCCGGTGTCCCCCCGGTGGAGGGGCTGGCGGAGCTCACCCCCCGTGAGGTGTCACCGCTGCTCGGTGGGGACGGGACAGTTAACGGACGCTTCTAATTTAGCCAAAGGGCTACTGCAGTCCAGCTTCATTTTAACCGGCAGCTGTTAAAAAAGCAGGAATTTGGGTAAGGGCCTGACGGTACCCTCAGAGCGTATGTTGAAACTTTATCTGAAGGTAACCCCCAAACCTATGGCTGGCAAATCCTGCAGCAAAACATTAGTGAGTGTTTTACCCACCTGGGGTAACCTCTCAGTCGCTTGTTTATTTGACGGTAAGAGTAAGTCTGAATCAACGATGCGTAAGCAGTCTGCTAATACAAATAAAATGGGGATACAGCGTTTTTGAAACATGCCTCCACTAGCTTTAAACTTCTGTTTTAATCCCAGGCTGAGGAGCGAGGTGTTGGCCCTTCTGATGAAGGTGCCTTTTAACGTAGGCAGTGGTTAGCGCCAGAGCGAGCGGCCAACTTAACGCTGATAAATGGCATTTCTCCCCCTCCCAGGACGCCACGTTTGGTGTAACTCCTGCCTCTGAGCCAAATGTAAGGTATATTTCCATTCAGGTCTCAGCGTGCCCTTTGAGAGTAGCTATAATGAGTACCTGCTGTCACGTTGCCTTTGAACCCTGTCGGCAGGAGCTGCCTCTGCCGAACAGGCCAAGGGCTGAACTTCATAACCCCTTCAGCCGTCAGTGAGTGGAATTACAGCCCTAATGGCACTGTGAGTTTGTCTTATCTATGGCCTGCGTCTGTGGCATGTCTTGCTGCTGATAATCTCCACAGCAAAGTCATTCTCGTCCCTTGCTCCTGCTGCAACCGGTGCAATAAAATGTCGAGGGAGGTGCGTTGGATCCTTGGAGCTGTACGTCTGCCTCGTTGTTCGTATATCACAATGCAGGGTGGGATGAGGCGAAAAAGGCTCACTTCAGGGAGAGCCTCACCTTTGGCACATCAATTTTATTGCAGTTGGATCAAGACAACGTGGGTGATAAACCATCCATATTGTGGGTGCAGCTTAAATAGTTTAGGTAAAGCTAGCTCCACGACATCTCATGAGCAAGACCAAGATTTTCCTGCAGAGTTACCACCAGGGTTGATGATCTCATCTTAGAAACTGGGTTCTACATTTAAGTGAAGACCAAAGCTGCTCTGGCACTTGCAGCTCTCATTTTTGTAACTGAATCTTCTAGTTTTATTTCTTTACAGATGTTGTATGTAGGAGTGCAGACAGCTGAGATGCTAAAGATACAGGGGCATGTGTAATTCTGCAGTGCTGCTCCCTGTGGTGTCTTTGTTGTGAAGCTAGTGGCCAGATGTTTGGATATATGTAGTTGCTAATAGCACTGGTAAGGAATATCACAGACAATCTGTATGCCAGAATCTGCGAGAACTTTAATTAAGCATGTGTGAGGAGACTAGTCTTTCTTCTACCTTCTCCATTGCCTTTTCTGCCTTTTCCTACAGTAGTCACCCTTCCTGCTGTTTTCCATTCTGCCTTTTCCTGTCTTGTTGAACCTTTAGCATTTTAAAAGCCTAAATCCATAAAACCAGTATGCTTTTTTGGTCAGGATACCTCTGTTGCTATGCATACAACATGGGAAATGTACCTTGAAGGTTGTACCCGGCTAGTGTTAATATCTAAGCTGTTTACTGATTCAAGCTCAGAGCCTTCCTTGTTCTGCCCAGCTTCCTCCTGCCTGTCACCGCTGTCCCCTGTGCTTCTGTCCCCGCATACAAACGTGCAGAGGACGTGAAGGTATCTAAAGTATTTTTTAACTATTTTATTTTTCTGGTTAAAGTACGCCTTAAAATTTCTTTGCCGTAGGGTTCCCTCCCTCCTGAATAACCTGTCTGTTTTCCCAGTGCTCCCTGTGACTGTTACCACCTTGCAAAGAAAGAGCTCTAGCAGTGCCCCTGCATGCACATGTACACCCTCGGCTTCTGGGCATTACGACTGACCTTTTGGCAAATGCTGTGTTCAGTAGTGCATCCCCCCAGGACAGTGTAAATCCTGTGTAATAAGTAAGGTAACCACCTTGGTTTGTGGCTTAATTCCACGGGCAGGTGGAGAGAGGCAGGAGCTGATGGGATACGCCACCTTGTAGAACCTCCCACACCTGGCTGTGGTTTGGTGCCTGTACCCAAAGTGCTGGAGGTCCCCAAGCCATTGGTGGGATCCTGTAGCTGAAGGAGCCATTCGCTTTCGGTGTGACGTGCTCAGTCATGCAAATCACAAAACTTCTAACTCTGGCTGCTGTTTTCCTGATGCAAAGGTTAAGGTGGCACATACATACAGCTCAGTCCTTATTAGATACCCTCAGAGGACAGAGGATCTCTTCTAAAGTAAATATTCAGCATGTTTGTGCAGAACAGGTTTTGTCTATAGCTCAGTGAAGCATACGGATTGGATGTGATAATTTTTTTTTAGAAGAGTGCATACATTTGTATTGGTTATTTGTGCCGTAGGTTTGAGTTTCAGAATGCTAGCAAGCTTTGCATGCAGAGCCACAGGGAAATGTTGGTGAGAGATTTCAGAATTTTAATTTTGGTGTAGTTCTGCTGCTTCTTCAGAAATGTTATATGTCATACATTAAAACAATACTACTCCCTATCGGTGCTGAAAAACCCCAGGAACCCTAGAACAAAACCATGACCAACGTCCATATGTTAGTATGATCTGCAGGTGATGGTATCTCTGGTTGTTGTAGGTCAGAGGGAAAGTTGTGGAGTTTTCATCTTCGTGGTGAGAGTTGAAACATGAGTCTTTGGTTTCCAGGCCTGCCTCAGTCACTGAAGTGTTCTGGTCTGTCAAGAAATCCAGAGAATGAGGGAGCTTTAGACAACATCAAATTATATTAAACTCTTCAAGTAATGCGTATCCATCCAATAGTGTATGGGTTCTACTTCCTGGAATATTTGCCTGGTTTTTCTACCTTGTGGATTGTGTTCTTGTCTTATCATCAAAGCCAACATGCAGATTTTGAGGAGTATGTGTTACAAAAACCTTTTTTTTTAATGTTGTGATTGGCAATACACATTCAAAACACGTGCTGTTCAGCTACTTTGTGCATTTTGCTAAGTTGTTTCCAGCACATGTAAAAGGGGTGTGTGTGGGGGGGTGTTCTGTGAGTGTGTTGTGTGTGTGCAATAAGTTGTTGTGTCTTGCAGATCTTGTGGTAGTCTAGGCATTGCTGTGTGGCAATATTTTTCTAGTTCTGGAAAGCATACAAAATCCAGCTTTCAGCAAGAAACTTGACTTGAGAGCTGTTTTACGCAAATTTTTAAACCCCCTCTTTGTTCATTGGCACAGCCAACTAATGAAACAACTTTTTTAAGTCTGGTGGTTGTTTTAAAGTAAATATCTTGGGCTCTAAAGATTTTGTTTAGTTTCCAAGACTGCACAACAGAGCCCCTTCAGAGATAATGCTTTCTAAAAGGTGGAAGCACAATTGCTGTTACAACTGCAAACTCTTTTTGGGACACAAAGCTCCTGGCTTGTTTTACCCTGTTTCCTCAAGTGGTAATCTGAAGATGGAACCTATTTTGGATACAGTTAACATTTTTGCTTCACTTCTAAACAAAATAAATTACCATCTGCAAAGCTATGAATAAATCCTAGGAGAAAATTTCTTTTCCAGAAGTGGGTTATTCTTTTTCCCTTGCAACTGATGATCTTGAAATTTAGAATGCGTTTCACAGGGATGCAGTTACTTTTCGCCATTTTTGCCCATATCCACCTCTTGAGTACCCTCAGATATTCAGTTGCGTTTCCTATGCAGCTGCTCAGCAATCTTGCTGGCTGGAGAGTCATTAAGGCTGCATTGGGAGGATATTTTGGGGTTTTTTTGGTGGTTACCTGGCTGAGGTGAAATTCTGTATTGTGTTATGATTATGGGTGATACAAATAGTAGCACCTGATTAGCATGGAGTGATATAGGGTGCTACTTCTAGTAATACAGAAGTGCTCTTTCTGTGCCCCTACTATAGAAATAAGTTCACAGGGCATGTATTTCTATTTCAGTTAGTGAGAAATGCATCAAAGTTGGTACTGACTGCTTTAACTTCTTGGCATTGTTGCAAAAACGATTTATCAGTTATTTAAAAAGGGAGTGTCTATGTAATCTTCCAGAGTTGAATGGATGTTTTTTTTGGGTGGAACTTTTAATGTCAAATCCCAGTGCTGTGTTGGCCTTGAGCAGGATTAGACCCAGCAAATCATCTGATGGCTAGAAAAAGAGGAATGCAAGCAACCTTCTGCTAAGGGGTTTGTATAGGAGCTGCCAATTTAGATTCTACTGTGCGTGTACTGAAAGCAGTGCAACTGAGTAAACAGGCCGTCCCTAACGTGTATTTGCTATTTCTGGGGGAAAAAAATAAAAATAAAATCTGTATCTCTTAAGACTAAGCCCTGAAGGAAATGCTTATCTTCTAGGTATACTGCAGCATCCAGATGGGACTGTCCTGAAGCAGTTGCAGCCACCACCTCGTGGTCCCAGGGAGCAGGAGTTCTACAACAAGGTGAGGGTCGGGCAGGGTTGGGGGGAGCTGCCTTGCTGCAGGTGAAATGATGCGTGTGACTGGTGTGGAAGTACATCCTTACTGGTGCAGTTGGGAAAGTGCAACCTAAATATCTGAATGGTAGGTCATGGACAGTCCTGTCACAGCATCTGTGTGCTGTCTAGAACTTTCTCTTTGAATGTCTGTCCCCACGCCAGACCTACTTCACTCGCAGGATTTAAGCTTGCTTATTTACTCATGGGACAGCGAGGTTTTTGCAGCATCTAAGGTTTTATTGAAAAGCCTCGTATTATCTCCATCTATGATTAAAGGGTGGTATGTTTGATCCCATCTTTCTCATGTTGCTAAGTGTCTCGGAACTGGTTGCATCTAAATTTAGCATGTCTTACACTTCGTCTAGTCTGGTTTATTGCTAGAAGCATTGCTCTGTTCGCTGGATTAAGACTGTGCACTGTATTAAAACTCAGCTCCTTTAAAAAGTCAGTAAGAAAATGAAACTCTCCAGTTGTTTTACCTTCAGTTTGTTGTGTTTTTCCTATTGCTTATCTTCAGTTTGCTTTATCAGTAACTTTAATAACACAAACTAGGAAAGCTGTTGCTTCTTGTCTTAGTAGGGTAAACTGTTTTTAGAGCCAACCTACCTCCCTGTGATAGTCTGTCACATGTTTTTTCTCTATCTGCTTGATCTGTAATGCCTTTCCCTGGCTTATTAGGTACAAAGAACTGTAAAAATCTTCATGCAGGATGAGAGGAGTCTTGAGACCCTCTTTTTGTTGTGTTTTGTTTGTTTTTTTTCTTTTTTTTCTCCCTAGGAGGGTATTAATTTAAGTTACCAAAAGAAGTTATGTATTTTGTGGAAGTGTCTCACATTAAAACAGACTAAGCAACGTGCTCCAAGAGAACAATGTGTTTGCATACTAGCATTACTCGATAATTCTCATGATGGGACTGCTAGACAAAACAGCAGCTCGTGAGTTAGTAGGAGCTCAGCAGGAGCCAGTTAAATCTAAATGTAAATACTTTTCTGACGTTTCTCAGTGACTATCCTTTAGATGAGGTTAGGAAAGATGCAATCCAGCCTGAGCGGTAACTCTTCAGTAGAAGGAGAAAGCTTGAACCAGACTCCTTTGAGTGCCGGCCTCCTTATTCTTCTGTGAAATCCTGAGGTACGGACAGTAACGTGTTGTCGCTGCCTAAAGCCAGGGGGTAAGAGGGGTAAGTGCAGGCGTTAGCCATTCACAGCACAGGCTTTATCACTTTCCCGGTTGCTTAGATTCATGTGACAAGCCCTGAGCAAAATCTTTGAGAAAGAGGTCCACATCAGTGCCCTTGTTACTATGTGCTGTTGCAGTGGAAGAAGTCAGGTCTCAATGCCAATGACTTGCAAAGTTAGTTCTAATTACGGGCCTTGCCGGGTCACTTCCGACATTCAATTTTTTTGGTTATAAGGCATTTGGGAAAGGAGTTGGGCAGTTGTTGAAAAATAATGGAGAAAGGGAAAGGTATATAGACAATGAATTGTGCGTGGACTAGAATGGCTTTTTGTGGGAGAAGGGAAGGAGAGGAAGTGCATGTATGTTACGTAGGTGAAAGTACAGGAGAAAGGTCTTGGGGATTTGTCTCTTCTCAATGATTAACTACTATCATGTTTGCTCTGGGGCAAGAACCATGTGATGCGGGATATAGACACCTAAGCACTACGTATGGTTGTTACAAGATGAGGATTACTGCGGATTGTGAGGTTCAGTGTAAGGTACGGTTTCACGTACAGCGTGAGCTGATACAATAGCTCATTGCTGCCAAGAGGGAAAGCCCTTTCTTCCCATTTTTGCCATTTGCCTTGTGCAGTGCTGGTGCTTTTTGGACACCGATGAACTGCTTTGACTTATTTAAGAGACTGCAAACCTTCCTTGTCAGTTTTTCCGGTCTTCTGTCAGTTTTAGTGATTAAACTTGTAAGCAGTGGGAACAACAGCAAGACTGCCCTGGTTTTGGTGGCTAAGCTCAACGCATCTTGTGGTCTATAATCAAAGAGGCATTATCAGCTTGAAATAGTCTAATGAGCCTCCAGAGAATGGGGGAAGGAGAATTTTACCACTCCCTGAGACAAGGGGTTGTTTACAAGGCAGTCAGGTACAGGAGATGGTGAGAACCAGTGCAGAAATGAAACAAGTGAAACAAGACTGATGAATCCCAGGCTGTCACTTTGTCAGGACTAGACAGCAAGTCCATTTGTACATTCAAACCAGAAAGTTACCAGTTAGTATATGTGGATTAGTAATATCTTTTTTGTATTATTTCTGCACCTTTTTTTTTTTTTCCATATGTGCTTGTTTTGTCTGTAGTGATAGATCAGTTATTGCTTCCTTTGCATGCTACCTTACCCTGGCCTGAATTAAGGTTAGTACCCCAGTACTTGGGCCACAAACAAGCGGGGTGTTTTACTTATGGGTAAAGCAAACCTTGGCAGTTATCGTGGATCTGAGACAGAAGTGTCTTCCAATGACCAGTGGTGACCAGGAAGCGGTATTTCAGCATGGAGTCTGAGTGCTCATGAGCTGAAGGTTGCAGGGAATGTGTTATGATAGAAGATAACGAGACAAGTTTGAATATAGCCCTGATATATTTAACCTGATACCAGGATAATATCGGGTAGATACACTCTTCTGTCTGGAAAAGAGAGTCTTCTCTTCTGAAACTGCTGGATTTGGCTTCTGCTGGATGGGTGAACATGACAGAGAACCATAGTCTGTGTCAGTGAATCGCCAGAAGTTTTTTTCCCCTGGTTGTTGATGGGTTATTTTCTATTGAGCATGAAGCTGAGTGCTGACTGGTAGACCCCAAACGAAATGGGCTTCCATTTTGGAATGCAAACTTGAGCAAGGTGCTGTAGTGTAAAATACTAATGGTGATTTGAAACCTGCTCAGAAGTGGGTGGCAACTGGGAAGTTTTGAAGAATTTCACAGGCCTCCGTCAAAGTGGAAAACTGGAAAATCTCTCAAGTAATTTCTACTCAGGCTGCTATTAGGTTACCCTTCTGGCTTCCTGACAGTATATTTTCAGTTTAGCAGTTAAAAAAACCCAACACTGCACAACCCGCTATCTAAATACAGGTCTTCTTCCTTAAGAGGTTATTTCACCAAGTAAACCAAATTTTTATCTCTACTACAGCGACATGTGTCATTCTCTACTGATGGGGAAATAGCTTACCATGATTCTGTGTTATGAGGGAGGGGAAAAATAGATTATGACAAGATTATCGTGAATACCTTCTATGATAAAATGTAGTAGAACAATGAACTGTTTGTAGTCATTGTTAATAACTTACTATGTATTGCTTAACTTATCACTGGAGTGTGACTTTCCAGTGGTACTGTCCACTTTCTATTGAGTTCTGTAAATCTGAGTAATTATCAAATCAAAGTAATAACATTTTAATGTTGTTCCTGCAAACTCCCTTCCTGTACCTGAGGGCATGAACTTCTTACAAACACTGGCTGCATAACCATGGAGTGTTTTACCAGGTCTTCTGGTACCCTTATCTGGGTAAAAAAAAATTGGAGCTTTTTAACTTCCAATAGCTACAAAATACTTTGTTTTCAATAGATATGAGCAGCAAGAGAATTAAAAATATTGAAGTAGAAGGGTTGTGGGGTTTTTTTAAGGACTATCTACACTGATGATCATCAGTTGTTTCCATCTAATGGAAATACTCGGCAAGAACATGTAGGCGGAGGCACTTTAAAGGACTGCTTTTGAAGGAGTTTCAGGAGGGAGCAGTGTAGAGAGATGTGGAAACAGGAAAATAGTGTTGTTTGAAAATGCAGTGTAATATATTATGTAGTAGTGACCCACTTCCATTAAAGAACATAAATTGGTAAAAGGCAGTATGTGTTTATGGTAGGCTGCCTACACATGCATGCTAAGAAATCCGCAAAAGCAGGCTACTGCTCGGTGTGTTTTAGTATTTGGCTTCAGCCTGCTTTATGCCAGGGCGCATTTATACATGCTGAAACAGTCTGATTTAATTCAGCAGCATTGGGAGAGGGGAGGGAAGAAGCCCGTCGGCCGTCCTACGGTGATCTCTTCTGGCAGGTGAGCTGGGAGCTGTGAGAAAAGCATCCTTTGAAAAGGTTAGTGCAGTCACTGTATGAGGTAAAGCCTCCCTGCTTAGCTGGGTACAGAGCTCTTGTCTCAAGCACGCCAGGCTGTACCCAGGAGCACTGTGTGCTAGCATAACTCTCTCTTCCTAATTAAGAGCCATCCTCTTCAGCACAGGGGTTTTCATAATTTGTCAGTGCAAGAATGCGGCATTGCAGAAACTGCTGTTCTGTTGGTGCCCCGAAGAGAGGGAGGAAGCTGGAATGTCAGGCTTTAAATAGGGCAGCTGCTTTTGTGGGCATGAAAAGATGGAACTTGGGCTGTAAATACTTAAAACTGAGGAGGGGAGGATTTGCAGTTGTTGAGGTTACCTTTGTAAGTACAGTTTTCTACAAGCTGTGTTTTTAGCACTAAGAGATGGAGTGTTTCTTACATTCAACAGAACAGGAGAAAGTCACTGGACTATTTTGAAATGGCAGCTCTTTCACTTCTGATTTCTGGCATTCACTCAGTAGGGCTGTAAGCCTCTGTTACTGTCTGTACCTGTTCTAAGGATGGCATACTGAAGTCTTAAAGGTTGCTGATGCAGTAGCTAATAAACTGGGATTTTATGCTTAACAGATCCATAAACGTTCCTGTAAAATTTTATTTGAATTGCTGTTGCGCGCTCCTACGGTGACTGCATGATGCTTAGGGTATGAGTAGTACACCTTCCCCCCTCATCCTGCCTGCTGAAAATGGTCCTGAGAAAGCTTTTGGAGCATGGACAACTTCCAGCGCTTACCTTTTTGTTTGGGTTTGTTTTCTTGGGTGTTTCTTTATTTTTTTTCTTTCCTGTTTGCTAGTGGCTGCATGTCAGAATTGTCATAGCTGTTTCTTGTGATGTTGTCAAGTCATGG